GAGGCTTTCTGCTCCCGTAAAGATTTACAGCCTTGGAAACCCTGTACAGGGTCGCTATGAGTCGGAACCGACTCCACGGCACATAACAACAACAGCAGTATATGTGAGCCCCAAACAACAGTGTCATTGTTGTTAAGTGCTGTCAAGTCAGTTCCAATTCACAGCAATCCTGTACAGACTTTCCAAGGAGTGGCTGGTGAGTTTGAACTGCTGACGTTATGGTTCAATCCGACTTTGCAGTCCAGTGCTGTATTTTATAGTGTCAGACCAGAATTCCAAAACAGCAGTGTCGTTAAGTTGCTAAGTGCCACTGAATCAGTCCCAACTCATAGCGACCCTGTCTAGGGTTTCTGAGGAGCAGCTGGTGAGCTTGAACCGCTGACCTTGCAGTTCAAATGGCTTTGCAATCTGGCGCATTAACTCACGGCGCCACACCAGGACTTATCGTATAGTGCCACACAAAAACAACATTGGTGGTGGTGGTGGTGGTGTGCCGTGGAGTCGATTCCAACTCATAGCAACGCTGCATACAATTTCCTAGGCTATAAATATTTGGGGGAGCAGAAAGCCTCATCTTTCTCCCCTAGAACAGCTGGTAGTTTCTTGAACAGCTGACCTTGAAGTTAGCAGCCTGACTCTTAACCACTTCCCTACATTAGTTTAATTTAAATCTTCAGCTTTCTAATTAAAGGCATTGGTCTATGAAGCAATCAAATAGCCTGTGAAAAGTTACTTTAACAAAAGCAAAAACATCAAACCCATTGATGTGGTATTGATTCCAACTCAAGAGAATAGAACAGAACTGCCCCGTAGGGTCACCAAGGAAGCCCACAGCAACGTCTTTCTCACATGGAGCCAACAAATTATCTTTGAACTGCTTCCACAGGCTTTCATTCTGAGCATGAACTTAATTTCTATCTGATTTACCTCACTTGTTTGGGGCTTTCTGCCACTTGCAGCCATTATTAATTTTAACTCACACAACATTGTAATTAATGCATGTGCTTTTTTACATCTTCTTATATGTTTAAAAAGTCATTTGAATGTGAAATGCAAAAAAACAAATTGAATTTCTATTTTATTGTGTTAAGTATATGTATATAGGGTCCTGGTATGGCACTATAGGATAAGTACTGGACTGCTAACTTCAAGGCCAGTGGTTCAAACCAACCAGCTGTTCCTCGGAAACACTTACAGGGTCACTATGAGTCAGAATTGACCTGACAGACAACAACTACACAAGTGTGTGTGTTTGTATATACTTCAAAAAGTTAATAGACAAATGGAATTAAAAGATAATGGAATTTTTCACAAACTTTTTTTTTTTTTT